TGTATGAACTGTTCGAGCTCCTCGTGGGAGCAAAAGATCAGCCATGATTTTATTAAATGGCGGGGCAGGCTCGAGGGGCCAGATGGCCTGCTCCTGCTCCTAGTTCTTATGTTCACCAAGAACCAGTGGCCATCACTGGGTTAGGGTTAGGATCGGGATCGGGATCGGGATCGGGGGCGGGGGCGGTCTGGAAAAGTGAGGGATTCTGAGAGTGAGATTCCGGGCCAGATACACATTCACCAGGACCTAACCAACCAGGCTCAAAGACCTTCCTGAACTAGTAAAAGTCACATATCTAACAAGGATAGGTTATTACTTGAGGTCAAAACATTAAATAAAACCTTGCAAAAGTCACTACTAATTAAACTATGAAATAAAAGCAGTAATTGCGGGAGAAACTCAAGTCTGGCAGTTTTGCTGTGAAGACAGAAACAGATTTAACGTCCAGTGAGCTTTCTAATGTGAGATTTTCCTGTGGCCCGGAGGCTCGGTTAATATCGGTATTTTTTAAACCAAACGAATTAAAGAAACCTACAGCTGAAATCACGTACCTTCTGCGCAGTTTTTCTCTCAGTTTGTGGGCTCTCTGAGGCTAATTCACATTTCCCGATCCGTGGAGACACCAGGTCCTTCAGTTTTAAACAGTTCATCTCTAAAAATGAAATAAGTATTTAAACTGTTTAATAAAACTCAAGCTCGTTATAAATTCAACCACTGCTATTGTGGCTCCGGAGGGGGTTCTTCCGCCCCCCACAAGCGACAGATTCCTCATATTCCTAGCCCAGGCTGGGGGTGGGGGCGTGAAAGGATGGGGGCAGAGAGAGGGAGAGGGAGAGGGAGAGGGAGAGAAAAGGGGGTTGGGGTTGAGGAAGGGGATTAAGGGTACAGTGGAGTGGAGTGGAGTGGGGAGGGGGATTAAGGGTACAGTGGAGTGGAGTGGAGTGGAGTGGAGTGGGGTGGGGAGGGGGATTAAGGATACAGAGTGGGGGGGGGTGCGCTCCAGGATTTCTTGCACTGGGTATTTACGTTTCCAAAAACTCCCAAGGAATTTTGGAAATATTCTCCAGAATGACTTGGATTGATTCTTCTCTCACCACTTTGTGCTAGAGGTTATGACACGGTCAAAAAAACTCAAATTATTTTTTAGCTCCTTAAATTAATTTCCAAATTGGCGCAAAGATTGTGCGCCGGTCGCTAAAACTCCTTTCTGGTTGTGATTGAAAATTTCGCCGAGTCCAGATTGTGCCTCAATGAAACCAATTGTTTGATGTGATTATGGAATAAAACGAGAGACTAACTCTGTGGACTTATGTAAGCGCAGAGAGGATACTGTTACACTCAGCAAGTGTAAAACCCAATGGAGATAGACTTACCTACTGCAGGGGAAGGTAACTTTCCCAGTGCTCAGCCAGATTTCTAACTCACTGTGAGATCGCCAGCAGTGGCTACATCCCGTTCCACATTTCCCTATCCTCACTCTCACACTCTATCTATCCTGTTTTCCCTTCCTCTGTATCTTCGCTTTCCTCTCGGTCCCTCTACTCTTCCGTCTTCCCCTGTCACCTTCTCTCTCTCTCCCCTTCCTCTTTGTCTCAGGGTTCGCCTAACCCCTCTCGTTCTTTTCCTGGCTCCCCTTCTCTCTAACCCCAATCTCTCTCCCCCTTTCTGTCTCTATCCCACTACCACTTTCTATCTGTTCCCCCCCCTTTTATCTACTCCCTTACTCCTCTGTCTGTCCTTACCTCCGTGTGTGTATCTCTCCCTGTACCTCCCCTCTGTGTCTGTCTGCCTGCCTGTCCCTCCTTGTACCCCCCCTCCCCTGTGTTTGTCTCAATCCACCTCTCTTTGTGGGTCTGTCTCCCCCCCCCTCTCCCTCTGTCCCCACCCCCTCTCTCT